GCATTCCTGAAGCAAACCAGATTTCTACTAAAAGTGACCAATTCATTAGCTCAAAACCCCTGGGAGCTCGGCTGAAATTCTCCATTTGGTGACAGAAGTTCTTGTAATTTTTCTGAGGTACTGCAAGTCTTCTTCCAAAATGAAAATGAAAAAGGGAATGATATGGGGAAGGCAAAATCATGCCATTTTTTTTCAAACCTTCCCCTTACGATCACTAACTACCTTTTCCAAAAACAAAACTCTTCAAAAACAAACTTTGCAGTGAAAAAAATGCTGTGTTTCCAAAGAGCAAAAGTGCATTTTCTGGACTGATAAAAGAATTTGCATCTATTTTTTTAAATGAAGCATCCGAACATTTCAATCATAATAGCAATTTCTTCAATTAAAAATATTGTGGTGAAAAAACCCCACATTTTTCAGAAAATGTTTCTACCTTAATTTACATTAGCTCTGACATTCCTAACAATACCTTGAATTCACCCCTAGCTTTCAACTACAGCTGTGTGTCTGAGCCTCATGTTGGAAACCAATTTGGGGATGTCAATGACCTGGAAAACCATGGATAATACACCATTAAAAGCTATGCCTGAATCTCTCCTTAATGAGTTACCTCCATAAAGACCTAGCACCCGATGAGGGCCAGTGGAGGAGAAAGCATGGACCCCGCTCTCCAGATGGTAGGCTTATCCACGCTTTCAGTGGCAAAATGTTTTTATGCTACAAACAGGTTTTTTGGTTAATCACCTGCAGAGATTTTTCAAAGATATTGCTTTTCCAAGTTTTAACTTAGAACTTCAAGATGACAAAGTCAGCAGTTATCTGCGTGAGGGTTTGCTCTCACGCGGGCAGGACGCCTCCGCGTGCTGCCTCGTCTGGAAACGCTCTCCTCCCAGTTTAATATTTTAGAGACTTCAGCACTTGTCGTTTTCCAGTCCACGGCGAGTACCTCAAACTACCTGGTAACGCGTGCGACAGAGGCGCGCTGCCGCAGCGCTGTCGCTCCTCACTTACAGTCCCAGCCCGTCAGACGTCTCCAGTGTGACAGTAACCACAGGACGCTTTAATCCGCTCGGTTTTCAAGAAGGAAATGCAAGGTCCTTCACCATTTTATCCACACTATTCCTCTCCTGGGGAATGATCTAACCTCTTTCCGGTCTGGAGAAATGCATTGTTTTACTGCTATCCTCTGACTGTAAAATCAACTCAGAAAAGATAATTTTAAAAACGTTTTACCGAATTGTGGGTTTTTGCTGAGATAATCTTTGTAGCCTTGGGATTCCAGAGGACCAAGTCCGCATCAGAACCGACGGCAATTCGCCCCTTCCTGGGGTAGCAGTTGAAGATTTTGGCCGCGTTTGTGCTGGTCACTGCTACAAAATCGTTCTCGTCCATCTTCCCCGAGACCTGCCAAAGGGGACGAGAGGAAGAGCGCTGGGTAAGGGAAAGCACGGCGGTCCGGGAAACAAACCTGCATTTTTTGGTACAGACGCAGTGACTGTTACAAACGAACGGCTCCGTTTAGCCCAGGGCACATCTCGACCGCAACGCTTCACTCGGGAATAGACTGTCCCCATCCTGGTAGCTATTGAGCACTGCTGACCTGCGCAGCGGACACCCGGCCGCGGAAGCGAGGAGATGGCCGTGCCCGTGGCCACCAGCTGCCACCGCTCCTCGGGCGGCCGCAGCGGCGCTGGAATCAGACAGTATTTTTTCATATCCTCTCATCTGAGCTTGCAACGTGACCTATTTACGGCTCTCGATCGCTCCGTGAGGAGGAAGTCAGGCTCCGAGACACAAAATTCCAAGATCAAACAGAATAATAATGAGGTGTAAGGAGCTACACAGAGACAAGGCTGCAATTTCAGGGGAAAAGCAAGATTTGGGGGAGCTGAACCTTATCCCTGTGGACTAAGTAACAGAATAAAGACTTTTATTTCCCCTGGCCTGTGAAAGTTAAGGTCTAGGAAAAGCACGACTCATGTCAGTAGGCTCGAGTTCCCTATACAGGAGTCCTCACTTTCACTGGAAAGCGGTTAAGGAGATGGGAATAAAAAAAGCCTATGGGAATAAAAAAAGCCAAAAGTAGCAGTCTAGACAATGTCACGCTTTGTGGCGTTTGAAGATGCAAGATGATGCTGAGGCTCTCTCACTTGAATTAACGAGAACATCATCTAACACAAGCACTACTCACGTGTACTTGCGTTCATACAGTAGGAAAGAACCAGAGTTATTTTAGTACCTACCACACACTTTTCCCAAATTATCGACATTCGCTCTTCGATGCCGTTCGTTCCCTCTGGAATCAAGGTGAAGTTGTCTTTTCCTACCGCTTTCTGCGCGGTGGTGAATGTGCAGTGAGCGCTGCCCGCGACCTGCAGATCCCCGCTGAGGTCAGACAGCACCGGGCAGAGGACACAAACGATGACTTTTAACAACGGCTTTAACACAGACACTAACAAAAAAAAAATCAGTCTCCTTTTCCGCTACTCTTTAGGGATGAAATTCGCCCCCGCCTAGAGGATTAGGTGTGACACAGATGGTTCGCAGGCTTTGTGCTTGGTCTGTTTTAGGGGACAGGTACCTGTCTGAGAGACACGCACAGGTCAAGCAGCCGCGACCTCAAGCCCAGCCACCGCTCTGTAGCCAACGCTCTCAATACTAAAAGTTGCGCTTGATTGACCCGCTTTGACACTTGGGACGTCAGGCAGGACCCCTTCGGTCTGCGCCGACCTACCATGACAGAAGGGACGTGAGATAATCGGGCGTCGTCGGGTCGGGGCTGATCGGAGGAGACGTGACGAAGGCTGCAGCCTTGGCCCAGTTTTTACTCCAATAGTGTGACCCGTCGGTGCCCAGGCTGGCTGTGATTGGCTCTCCATACACAACTGCGCCTAAAGAATATCAACACTGAGGAACAGAGCTGTGCAGGTGTAGCATGTCCTTGAACTCGCTGCTTCACACAATACAGACAAACCTTACGGGTGAACAATAAAGGACGGTTTCAGCCATCTTCAGTGTTCTCAGTATTTCAGCTTTGCAAAATTTACACCAGTCACTCCGACTATCTCAGATTACTCTTGCCAAAACAAATTTCTCAATCCATCTTTTTTCTCCTTAGACAAAATACACATTTATATCTAGAAATAGTTACGCACTCAGTTTGATACCAACATGCTCAAAAGTGTTAAGAGACTTTACATGCCACACAGACTATTCTGTAAACGTGACCCCTGTAATACAGAACCACAGGACGCCTGAGGCCGGTGGGGACCCCTGGAGATGGTCTGGTCCAAGCCCCGCTCAAGCAGGGTCGGCTGGAGCAGGTTGCCCAGGACGGGTTTTGAATGGCTCCAAGAATGGAGACCCCACCACCTCTCTGGGCAACCTGCTCCTGGGTTCAGTCACCCTCACAGGAAAAAAGTTTTTCCTAAGTTCAGAGGGCATTTCCTGTGTCTCAGCATGTGTCCACTGCCTCTTGCCCTGTTGGGCTTCATCCTCTTTACATCTCCCCCTCAGGGATTTATACACATTGATAAGATCCCCCACTAGGTCTTCTCTTCTCCAGGCTGAACAGTCCCAGCTCTCCCAGCCTCTCCTCATATGAGGGATGGTCCAGTCCCTTAATTGTCTTTGTGGCCTTAATATGTGTGGAAAACGTACGTGAAGGCTTTCTTGTGAAATCTGGTAGCTTAAAGTATTCAGTACTTTCACAGCCAAAAGGAGATCAGGTAACTGTTTCTCACTTAAATCTGGTACAGGTCAGCGTCTCTCCAATAGAACGATGCTGATTTAGGACTGATGTGGACCGCGACCTGTCTCCAAGCATTGTATTCTACCTTGTTTCCCCAGAGGAATATTTCTAATTCCTCCCTATCCGCACTTTGCATTTGGAGTTTGTTTCAGTTCCGTTTTTTGTTTAGTTCATGACACGCGATTGGAAGCGAGTTCTTAACTTTCCTGTTTTCCAGCTGCGATGCAGCTATCAAAGTTTCAAACAAAATTCTTGAAAGCTGCTGAGTTCATTTCAGAGCGCCTGAGCTCTGCCACATTCGGTGAGCACAAGCTAACCCCAAGGTTTAGCATTCTTAAGACGTGAGAGAACTCGGGTGATAACGAGTTCTTAAACCTCGCAGTTATTTAAGTAAGTCTAGCAATGTCGTTACAGGCTCAGTGAGCGCGCAAATACGATGCAGTGCTTTACCTTTTCTCTTTGCTTGAGCTAACACATCTGCTGCACCTTTGCTCATTATTTTTGTGACATACAAGGGGCAGTTGGCTTGTTTTGCTATTGTAATGGCACGGTACACTGCCTCTGCTTCAACCTTAGGAAACAAGAAGACAAGCAGACAATGCCTTAGGATATCTCTTTCGGAGCTGAGTAGGCATGAGCAGAGACTGTTCTCAAACTCTGAATAGCTCTATTGGAAAAAGTGAAGATGTTACCTCCTCCGGGCGGCTAAGAACGTGCCCTTCTGGCCCCGTAATCCCAAGCTCCAGCAGCCTCTTTTGTTCCTAAGTGAACGAAGATGAATGAAAGAAGCAGTAAGTAGTTCGAAGAGTCTGTCCGAAACAACGTGGGACATACATAAAACACCTTGTTCAGAAGTACCTGCAGGATGACAGAAATCTATGAATACTACTATGAAATACCACTTATTTCTACGACGCGCCATGAAGTGCTACAGCAACTTCAGAATAGTGAACATTATGACCAGTCTTGCGCTGCTACTTAGCACAGACTGGTTTGACAACGTACTGCTGTTTAATCTAGACAAAATTAAGCACAAATGATGGCAAAGAATATGTTTTTCCTGAGCCCTTAGTCCCTGCACCTGGGATAGGCTCTGGCACAGGCAGCTGAAGGCTAAGCGGCTGCATTAGGTGCAGAACTGCTCTCCTTCCAAAACCTCCAGGGGCTGGCAAAATCTCACACCTCTTTCTTGTAAGTGCTGTCTCGCATTACTCACGCTGTTTCTCGTACCCTTCCCTCTGTGCCACCTCTGTTCCCTGCCGGGCCATCGCCTGCGCTCAGCTCCTCACCACGCTCTCAACGCCTCCAAGAGCGGACGAGTCGTTAACACTAGTCCAAACTGTCAGCCTCAAAAGGAGAGAAAACTACCACATGCTGTGGAAACATTTTTCGACCGGGAACTGCTGCGTGTCCCAGCATTAACAGGGGAATTTCTCTAGTCTTTAAGCCCAGTTATGGTTCTGGAGGATTTTTTACTCTAAGCCAGTCATTGCTTCCTCTAACACTGCGCTAAATATGATGCATAGCTATAGGCGAATAAAATAGGTATTTCCTCAGATACCAGGGAGGCCACGGTGGTCTGAAGCTGCTCAGAGGACACCACGTATGGAGCAGAGGGGGGTTACGCGGGCAAAGCAGGTGACAGCGTCACTGCTCCTGCTTGGCCTCTCCTGGCAGTTTTGCTGGGAGGAAGAAACGGGCCAGCACAGCAACCGGGAACCCACAACAGACCCCGGGCTGCCTGCAGGTTACCACCTCCGCACTGCGAAAACACGTGTCTAGTCCTCGCTTCATCCAGCTTCCTCTCTGTGATGGTTTATACCCTGTAAGGCTGAGCCGGAGCCGGCACTAGATGCGAGTTCATTTATTATTTAGCGCTACGGACCAGATCTTGCTGGCTTTAGAGACTCTCGCTCTTGGAGGATTTTTATTTCTATTCCTTTCGCAGCTGCCCTTGGAGCTCGTCCCCGGGCCTCCAATGTCACCGTGCCGGCAGCCTGGAGGAACGCTCCCGAGGACACCGAACCGCTTGGGATCACGTTACCTTTCACAGCCAGCGAAAGAAAAGATTTGTCCGATAAGATCCAGGTCGGGGGGGGGGATTAAGCTCTATCCTGTTTGTTCATATAAACCCATTTAATAAACCTATTTAAAGGTGTGGGATTTGCTTTCATTTCAAACTCTTCTCTCACATAACATTGGCCAGTTAAGTGACCGTAACCAAGATGAACTGCAAGTCTAATTCTACTTCGTATCATCTATTTGCCGTATATATTTAACATTTTCTTTTCTCAAGGTGAAAATAATGAACATGAGTAAAGCTTGCAATGCTAAATAAGTCCTCAGGCACCATTTTTGGAGATACACGTTTCCAAGTGTATTGTGTGCTACTTCAGAAGAACCAAACCTCTTTAACTTTCAAGATAACACACGCAGGAATTCTGAAAAAGATAAATAATGTGATAAAATATCACTTCAGGCAGTCAGTCAACCTTTAAGAAGCCCCAGACGTACTTGTTGGGAACTACTGAATAATTCCTGCAAACATTTCCATGCTGAAAACCAAGTGGAGGCGAGCAAGCGGGCGATGCCACCGATCTGGCGGCGCTGCAGGTTTGGCCTGCACACGCTGCCACGGCAGGATTCCCGCCGGCCCTTTCCCCCAAGCTTGGGGAATCCGACCGCGCTGCGCGTGGGCGGACAAGGGACGGGGCAAGACGCGGATGGCACCGACGGCTGCGGGGCTCCGCGTCAGCCCGCGAGGAAAGGGCCCAGCAAATCCCCCGCATGCCCACGGGAGAAATTTCAAAGCAGAATAATCCGGGCGACGCTGCGGCTGATCGCTCACACCGGTAAGCGCACGTTGATCCTCTTCACCGAGCAGCGAGGTGTCCACAGCAGGATACTCTCTGTCTGACGTGGACCAACCCCCACTGACTTTGCAGCACAAAGTGGGCTGGCGCTGCACTACCTCCCATTAGATGGTAGAGCCCATCTGCTAAATCAAGACACTCTGGTCAACCTCCAATTTAAGTGAATACAAATACCATACCTCGTCAATGATGTCTCCATTCTCAGCGTGCACTTGGGCAACGGCCCCTAAGTCTCGGATAATGCTGAATATTTCATACATCTGTCAGGAAAGAAGGGATTGCCCAATATCAGATAAATTGTAACTTATGTGGAGAAGGTGGGTGATTACGGTCCTTCACCTGTCCATATTACCTGGGCATCGGTGCACTGGAGCTTGTCCTTGTAAGCCATGAAAACCAGAAAGGAGTTCACACCTTGGAAAAAGAAAACCACACGTGAATCCACTGTCAGAGCTGAGAGCAGGTGCCCGGAGCTACTCGGGGTGGGCTGAGGATGCTCGGATCGGGGACGGGGCTGCGCTGGCGGGGTCCGGGCGGAAATCAAACCTCGGGTGAGCTCTGAAACGTCCTAACTGTCCCCACAAGAACTGAAAGCAAATTCTGGAAATCCTGGAAGACAACACACGCGTGTGTTCGGACACAAGTGAACAAAAAACGTTGTCCATTTCTGAGTTTAGGTAGTCTCAGTAGCTTAAGCTAAACGCGTAAAATCATGTGCATTGCTCTGCATCTTAATTTTCCCTCCAGAAGTGGTTTGAATTTAGGGTTTATCCCTGACTTCTGGGAATTAATATATTAATGCTAACTACAACTTACAATGCGGACGAGCACTCTGGCACGCAGCACTGCATATAATCCTAACTCACTTCTGTCTAACGTAAAACACGACTCATGAGGCGCTGAGACAGCGCCCAAGGACTGCTGTTGTATTTTATACGGACAAAGGCAACAACTAATCCAAAATTATGATCGCATTACAAATAACCCGTATTTCATGGGAACGCGCATACGAAAAACACCCGGTTGAAGCTTTGAATAGCTACCGCATTACTTCAGCCACTCCGCATTTTAATAGGGAATTCACTGCAAATTTCTGGATTAAGTGACTGATTGAGCCCTCGCTTGCAAGACCGGCAATTACACTGAAGTCAGTTAGCTCTGTATTAGCATATCTGAAAGGAAAATGTACTTCCAAACATACAAACGAAGCATTAATGAAATGCATTAATTCACGACACACCGCCTGCTTTTCGGTAATCTGCGCTGAACAGACTCCTCAGGATGTACGGGAACCGCAGGCACGAGCGAAATCTCTACGAAAAGCCTAAAGCTCACCTTCACGCTACAGGCCCAGCCTTGAATTTTTTAACTGACCTACCCGTCAGTCAGCCAGCAAGCCTGACTCGGGGAGCCTGGTAATCCTTCCCTGAGTCTCCAAAATACGTTTCCTTTTATTGCTGGGCTGTTAACTGCCCAAAGGTGAGAGAGAGCACGCGAACACCACACTGCAAGCCACGCGCGGGTATCAGCCCACCGCACATACCCCTTCTACCCGCGCGACAGGAGACGGGCGGGTCCCACCTCGGACCACAGCAGAAAGGGCCTGGGCATTCGCCCGTTTACCACTGGAGAAGAGGATTCCTGCAGAGGAGCCAACTGGCTAAAATCATCGCGATAGCTTACCCTACCCTACTTGCCTGGGTGCTTCTTGCACGTCAAGGAAAATATATATATATATATATATATATATTT